TAGATTTAAAATGTTTTGACCTTTTTCACAAGTGGAGATTGGAAAGGTTAATTTGGGCATTACATATTTTCTTGGGGGCATAATGATATTTTTTGAAAAACTCGAGACTTAGTCATCGGCATATCCACCCAGATCTGAATTACATCGTAAATGTTTTAAGGTTGGTATGATTTGATTTAAACAAATCTGAAGTTATCTGATTTGAATAGATCTGATGTGATCTAATCTAAATAGATATAACCGTATTTGAATTTAAATTATAATTATATTAAAAATTATTATTATTTGAATTTGAATTCGAATTCAAATAATAATATGGAGTAATATAATAGTTTGTTTAAATAACATAATAAAATTGATATGATCGGAATAGATTTGATATGATTCAAGTGCATATAGCCAATAAACATAAGTAGTAGATTTTGATATGATTCGAATGCATATGCCCCGAGTAGTACTTTGTCCTTTCGAGTTGAATTTTCGATTGTATTAAGAGCCTCAATTTTAATTTTTAAATCAATATACTCCGTAGTTGATTGTAATCATTTTTAAAACCAAAATGCTAAAATTTATAAATTTAAAAAAGTAGATAAACGTTCTACGAAGTTAAACAAGCAAAGAGGTTACATACTTATATTATACTCAACATTTATGAATCGTAGTGAAAATAACCAAACAAAGTAAATTAGCTTTGTGAATAGTACTTCTTTGTCCTAAAAAATTCTCAATTTAACTTGACATTAAGTTTAAGAAAAATAAAAATATATGACTAAAGTGATGCAGAAGAAAGAAAGATTACAAGTTACTCAAAATTAAATTTTTCTATAAAACAAGTTTTTTTTCACGTCCCAAAAATAAAATAAAAATATTTTTAGAGGGATGGAATATATACATGATGAGAAAGACCAACTAGAAATATTCTTTTGAGCTCTAAAAAAGGGGACATTCCCATAACCTCTTTATCCTCTTCCCTCCCCTATGGTTGACAAATCAGTATGAAAAAATTAAGAAATAATTATAGAATTAAAACAATAATAATAACAACCTTTGTTTGCAGTTCCCCATGGTGTATAAATTGAAAGCGTTAATTCCGAGGATCTTTTGAGAATTTTTTTTTTGAACAAGATATTTTCTCTATTAATTATTTATATAATCGATCTAATCCGACAATATTCTATTGATGTCTAATGGGTATATATATATATGTATGTATGTGTGTGTGTCTATATATATATACACATACATACATACATACATACATACATACATACATACATACATACAACATACTTTTTTGAAATAACGTTTGGTACCTCTTTACTTTTATAAGTTACAAATTTAAATATGCATTAATAATATAATAATAAATTCTCTTAAAAAAGAATAAATTAATACAGGTCACAAAATAATTTCAAATATGATATGTGACAAAAATCGTGAGCATATTAAAGAAGTAAAAAGAGGTTAAAATAGTCAAATAGATGAAATATATGTCAAACGAATTTAAAGAAAGTAAATTTTTTTGTAATATCAAATATATTAGTGTAAACTTATCAAATACTCCCTCCGTCCCATAAAATGTTACCCATTTTGATTAAAGTAGAAATTAAGGGAGGGATAATTTTGTGTTGACTTTCCAAAAATACCCTTGATGTGATGGGTAAAAGTAGGATGTGATGTGTAGATTATTAGGAAAAAGGTATGATGTGATAGGTAGGGTTTGAAAAAGTAAGGGGTAAAAGTGGTTTTTTAATAGAAATGGGTAGGAGATTGTGGGACACAATTTTTTTGAAAGGTGTGAATCTTTTTGGGACGGAGGGAGTATATAAATATCAAGTTTTAAAAGTTAGCATAAATTATTTGCTAAAAATGGTCGATGTTTATTCAAAAGTTACCATATACGAAGACTTCTTTTGAATGATTTTAGATTCAATGAATGCATACATTCATCATTGACATGTCAAAAAAACTCCACGTAGGCATTTCATGTGTCAAGTTTTGGTGATCCGAGTATGAAATATTACTCCGTATATTAATGGAAAGGATGTGCAGTGTACATACTCCCATTATTATATTTCATGGATAAACGGTGGATAAAGGATGTTCGTGGATAAACGATGCACATTTCAATTTTTTACATATATATATTTTTGAATAATTATTTAATTGAGTAATTTTTTAGCATTTGAAATCTTTTAACATTTTTTAACTCTTTTCGGTTCTTTTCTAGTTTTTTCTTGTTTCTCCCAACATTCAGTTTTGAAATTTCAATTCAAAAGAATAAAGCCTACATACGGACTAAATTATTTTGGTATAGAAGAACTTTCATGGAACATATGGGGTTTTATTTTATACTCACTCCATCCTTAAAAATTCCCTTCTTTGATTAACATGCAAAATTATGTGACTTTTAAAATGATTCTATTTATAAATTAGTAAAGAAATAAAAAATAAAAAAGTATTTTTAAAAACTACAACGAAAACTTTACAAAATAAGAGGTGATATGAGTATTTTTTAGTAAATGATCAATGAATGTGAAAAAACGCAAACAAATAAGAATTATTCGCAGACCGTAATAGTAAACAGATAATTATTTTAGGGACTAAGGGAGTATATATTACTCTGTATATTGGAGTATGTACTATTGATAAGTCCGTTTCGTACTTATCTTTTACTCATATTTAATATGTTCTTGTACTATTTTAATCATCAAACTAATAAATATTTTATTCTTTTTCATCAGAATAATGTGTTTTGATGATTCGATCATAAAAAGATGTCTTTGAATTAATATGAAAATTTGGGTCATGAATGGAATAGAAAGAGTATTAGATGAATTCATTTACTGTATGAATTATTTATATAGGCAAAGATTTTTTGACATTGAGGAGGCGAGCGGGTGGAATCACCGGACAATTGTTCGGGATATGGAGATGGCGGATCGGTTCGGTATTTTTTAGTTCGGGAATTTCAGTTTTTTGGGGGGAAATTTTGGTATATGTTCGATACTTGCTCACCCCCAAAATTAGATGTGTATTGTCAATACCTTATTTTGTACTTCTTCCGTCCCAATTTATAGTGCCTATTTATTATTCACAGAGTCAAATTTCATTTACTTTCTTTATCTATTTTCGTTAGCAATTTGATAAAATAAAATACTATTGTCACTACTAGTTTTGTAGATCTTTTGATGTAGTATTTTAATATGTAATTTTTATTTTTTAACTCTATACCGTTTGTCATATAAAATGATTTGAAAATAATTTTAGTCAAATATCGTAAACCGAAACAGACACTATAAATTGAGACGAAGGGAGTATTTCGTTTCCATATTTTAATTTGTATTTTCAAAGTTTGTGTACAAACAATTTTCAAGTGGTAGGAACTGAATGAAATAAAATGGGACAATGCTAGGATTACATCAAGATAAGATATCTCACTTGCACACTAAGTTTACATAGACACACAATGGTGCGTGTTCACACATTATGTGTTAGACATTGCGTATCTTAGTATCTATGTGTGTTTGTGAAAGCTTGGTGTAGAAATGAGTGTCTGCTTTTGGTATATCCTAGGTTAATTCCATAGAATTTCCCCAACTGTACTCGATAATACATTTGATGAGGGTCAAACCTGCGACTTCTCACACAAGAAATATGCAAAGAAACCGAACCATGCATTCGATACATTTATTTATTGTATGAAAATTTATAATACATTTGAAATTCAAAAAATTAATGGACAAGGATCTCTTACATCAAAAATTAATGTCACGATATGACATAAGACAATTTTGCATGCTATTGACAAATTAGGTATTTTTTTAAAATGTCCTAAGAACGGAAGAATTTTTTATCATTCTATCTTAAAACCAATCGTATTTGTTGTATTTGTTAGCCTACCCTTTTAATCAAAGTGAAACTACTCTCTTATCCTTCTCCCTAAGCTGTTATCGCTAGGTTTTCGTTATCAAACCATTGCGGCAGCAGAACGTCTCTACCCTAGTAAAGATATTCGTTATTCTTGTTTTGGCGACGCGCCATTTTCATCATTTTCTATTCCTATCGATTGCATACTCTGTCGCCTCTAATCGTTCGCCGTTTCGCCGTTTGTTCCCCGATGTTCGCCATCAAACTACTCTGCGCGATTGCGCCTCTCATTGTTCGCTGTGTTTCTTTTATTGTTTCTCGTCGATGAAATTCTCTTTCCACGTAAGTACATATTCATCTAATTGTTACAGGAAGGAGTGGATAATTAAACATTGCCGGCAGAGATCAAAACATGGAGACATAATCAGAACCTATGCACAAAGGGTCGACATAATTAAAGTCGAAATATGTTTTTCGATAAACTAATCTAATTAGTCGACCTATTTCGTCGGTCTAGACAATACATGACATCATCATTCGATCGACATATACCTATACATTTTTTACGATAAATTATGTGTTGATTGGGAAATTTAATATTTTAAATTATATTTTAAAACAAATTCAATTTTATTAAATTTATATTATAATTAAATATACTTTTTCTGTAATTTGCAGTCAAGTCAAAGATTATCATAGATATAAGCAAATTCAGAAGGAACTTGACTGACTGGGGTGGGCTGTGAAAGCTTCAGCCGAGTCTCCGCTGAACTCAATTGCAATGGTGCGATACTCCTGGGATTTGGATTGGGGAAGGTGAAGCCTACCGTGTATGATGTGGTATAACCGGCGATTCTCTGGTTTTGGGGGAGGAATAGTGAGGACCATCGTTGGATCGTTGGAGAGCGTTGTAATAGGCGATGGGGTTGTAACGGCTGGTGATTAACTCCCTCCTCAAATTGCGCAGGTGAAGGGGAAATGCGGGAAAGTGGTAACCGCAGGTGGAGGATAAAGAATACAGGGTTAAATTGGGAATATTAGAGAGATGAAAAACGTTGGAGGTGCTAGAAATGTAAAAAATGGAATGGGATTGCTATATATGTATTTTGTAAAACTTAAAGGTGCTACTGTATATGATTTAATACCTGTTTAGCACTACTCCGAAAATAATTATTTCCGTCATTTTGGCGGATGCTAAATTCCGGTTTTGTCCTTGGGTATTAAATAGGTGGGTAATTGATTTGAACCTGGCAGTGGGTTTTCACGATTCTTGAGGACGGCTATTCAGGCGCCAAAATCGCTATCATAGGCTGTTGCATGCGCCCCGTTTTTTGAGGCCGGAGATTTAGCCGGCTGTTTCGCACTTCCAAAATTATAATCTAGAAACATGAAGTGTGCAGAGATTGGGAACCCTGATAGTCCTCATCCGGTGAGAAGACGCAGTCTGAGAATTGCAATGGCGAAAGATGAAGCTTTGCAAACTGGTGGACAAGCAGTGTCAGCGGAGGATGAGCTGGATGAAGTTCTGCTTATTAAGCGAATGGAGAAGGTTCAGGTATGGTCTGTCATTTCGTGTGTGTAATTTTAGGCGACTTAAGTGTGAATTTTGGTAGTATACATGTCCGTGTTTTGGCTTCAAATCTTAGGGGGTTGGGGATTTAAGACTTATTTTGAAATTTGGTGGTTTCTGGGATTTCAAATTTTTACCAAAGCTGTGCAACGCTGGAATTTAGTTTTCAAAGAGTTGTTGAATATCGTAGATGAACATTTTTTGTGTTGGTTTTTTGAGTCTTGCAGTGATTGGTGGTTTTTTTATTTTTTGGTTCTCATGTACAGATGTATTTAATTACTTCCCCTCTGAACCCAATTGTTTTCGCATATTGCAGTGTGTTGTTTATTTGGTGGGGCTTCCTTTTCCTGATTGATAAGCTTTTTGTCATAAAATAGAGTATGTAGATAGGCACGATGTTCAGTTCAGAGTGGGTTTTGCGCTCACTTTTTTGAAGTTCGCATATTGCAGTGTGTCGTTATATTGTTTGGATGTGTGGGGGTGTGAATAATATTGTTGATGTGGGGTGTGTTTGGTTTTTTTCTTGTTTATGGTGTGTGTCATGTTGTGGAAGTGTCTGTGGGTGTAGCCACTTAGAGGTGGTGGTGGTGTTCTTGTAAATGGCATTGGGGTTTTTTTTCCTTTGCTATTTTTTTTCCTGACATTTCTAATGGCTTTTTGGGACAAATACATTTTTTTATGTTAAAAGGGTTTTTTCATATTTGTTTGGGTGCATTGATTGTAATGAGATTTTGGATGTGTGCTCTGATGTGGAAGTTTAGGTGGTTGTTGTGTTGTAGTGTTGTGTTTGGCACTGTGGGCTTTTCCTATTTGTGGCATTGGAAGTTAATTTTAGTGGGTGCATTGCTATATTCTTTGTCTTCGGATTGCATTATGGTGGTCTGCCTGACTGGTATATGTATATATGTGGCAGTGGGAGACTGGATCGTGGATTTGATTTCACATTGCATTATGTGTGTCTGCGTGACTGGTACATGAATATATGTGGCAGTGGGAGATTGTTTATTGGGAGATACTGTGTCTTTGGGAAATGTGGGATTACTGGCTGTCATCATTTTAGTGGTCTATGGTCTGTTCTTTTTATCTGGCAGTGTAACATGGTTTCCGTGTCATTTGACAGATAAAAAATGTTACCAACATTGGGTATTAGGTGTTGGTGTGTTCTGTAGACACCTTCTCAGTGTTTGATTTATTTCATGTCTATCATGTGTTAACATTTTGGGACAGTTATTTTTGTGATGTGCTTATGTTTGGTTTGTACATTGTATAGGACGCGCAACGGTTGGGTAAGGGTGGTTGACTTGATGGTTGAATTTAAGCACACTGCAATGTTAATGAGGTTTGAAGGCAGATTAAAACGAAACTAAGTCAGTAGGAGGTTAATAGGTTCAGGGCTTCGGCGTTGTGTGGTTTGTTGTGAGAGTGTGTGTGGTTGTTGTGAATGAGATAGTGTGGTGTTTTCGTTCATGCGGCAGTGGAAGGTTTTTTCTGTGGAAATTTTGCATTATAGCGCTGATATAACATTGTTTTTTCTTTGGGTTTTTTTTTCATTTTTTATGTGATTAAATGTGGCATTGATAGTTTGCTGGGGTAGTTTTGTATGGTTTTTGGTATCATGTTATTACTGGTGACTTGTTTTAAGTAGATGGTTGTGTTGTCGATTACTTTTTGGCAGTGGGCTTTTTTTAATGTTGTTTGTTTTGGTTAGGTCTAGTGTATTCAACGTTGGGCAGTCGGTGTTTCGTTGGTCATACAGACATCGACCATATCCCTATTTATTTTAGATCTGTGTCTAGCCTACATTGGCAGTTTGTGTTGGTTTTTTTTGTTCTTGCGAATGAATTATGCATTGTGTAGGAAGTGCAGAGGTTGGATAGAGGCGGCTTACTTGATGGAAGGATTAATACATACTGCAATGTGAATGAGGTCGCAAGACAAATTAGGGCAAAACTGAATCAAGAGGAGCTGGGCAGATTTAGGACTTCAGCTTTCGGGGTGCTTTTGGATGTTCTGGATTGTCCATGGATCAGTGGGCAATTGCTCATTCATTTGGTAGGGAATTGTGTGCAGTCTACTGATGATAGTGGAAGGAAGGACAAGTTAAAATTCAAGATCCTTGGTAATGAGGTGGTTTTGACGAAGGGGCAGTTTCATTTGATTACCGATTTAAAGATGGGCGGACACAGGGGGATAATGGATAATGGTGTGGGGGGTAGGTTTGCGGCGCGATATTTTCAGTCCAGTAAATCAGTTAAGCGAAAAGAAATCACAAAAGCATTCTTAAGGTTTAATCGCGATGCGGAGGGGACAATGCCGAGTGACGCGCTGAAGATGTCGTTGATTTACGCTTTGGCAAATACGTTTCTAGGTAACCAGCCTTCAGTTAATTTACCCATGCATTATTTGAGTTTGGTTGATGACATAGAGAAGTTTAATAACTACCCTTGGGGGGATGACGTTTGGTCGGAGTTAGTCGATCATGTGTATAGGTGTGCATTATGTATTGAGAAGGGGGGTAGCACCCGGCCTACCTTCGGAGGATACATGTTTGCATTACAGGTTTGGGCTTTTGAGACATTCCCATCGCTAGCCGAGGCTGGGATGTGTGTCTTGGATTCTGAGCGGGTGAATTCGATACCCCGGTGTCTGCGATGGAGGGTCTATGCAAAGTTTAGCTCTTCGAAAGTTTCTGACGCTCTTTTCAAATCTGGGAAGGTTAGATGTTTTGTGTTTGTTTTATTTTTTGTTGTTTTTTGTACTAAATCATACCCTTAATAAAGTTTTGTTCCAATTGCAGCTTCATGTTAAAGATGTTGAGCCAACGGGTGATGAGTTGTTGTTGGATAATGTGAAAGAGCTTTTTAAGGATAAACCCAACACTGCAGTGAAGGCCAGTAAGAAGTTGTCACTTAGCCTTTCGAAGCGTGTTCGAAATGTTAAGGAAAGGCAGGTGAATATACGCGATGCGTTTGTTAGGCTGAAAACTGAAGGGAAAGCATCTGGAAGTGAGGTGAAGTCCGCGGTTAAAAGGGATGGAAAGGGCAGTGTCAAAGCAGAACATGGCGCGGTGGAGCGGGAGCGTAAAGGGAAGAAGGTGTGTGTGGCAAATACGGATAGTGAGCAGATGGATATGATGAAGGAAATCAAGGAGATCAAGGAAAAACAGGATGCGCAGGACAAGAAACTGGATGAAATCTTGGGCATTCTTCGGCAAAAAACAGCGTCTGTTGAAGCCGGCTCAGCGTCTGGGAAAGGGTCTTTGATGGGAGGTAATGAAGAACCTAGGGTCCAGAATGAAGGTATCACTGTTGAGGGGAATTCAGATGCTGAGGGTAAATGTGGGGTTGATCTGGATTTGAGTTGTGACGATGGGGGGCCATCCTTTGATCTTTTAACTCCATTGCCTAGAGTGGATGCAGTTGGTGCTGAAATACGAAATGACAAGAATGGAAATGTTTCGGTGACAGAAGCGTGTGACCCAGTAAAGGAGTGGAAGTGTCCAGATATTCCATACACTGAGACACAATATGATCCGCGCTTCCTGGATCTTATTGACAGGCAGGAAGAGATGATCCTAAAGTCTTTACAGAATGCAAGCAGTGTAATGTGTTTTTTTTATGTATTTCAAGGGATTATTTTATTTGATATAATGATTTTGGCCTTATAAATGTGTGGAATGGCAGGTTCCTCCGGTTTCTTGCGAAGGGATTGTTGGGCAGGATGCGATTTAGGGTGGGTGCAAGACAAGTGTGAGTGGTGATGATACTGCCAAGAAATCTGGTAACACTACAATGCCAAACGATGTGCATGTACCAGTGGAGGTTGAGTCCACATTTGGGGTTAGTTTTTTGTGTTCCTATATTTGGGAAGGGACTGATAATTGCTCTTTCCAGTGATTTAGTTTTTTTCCAAGATGTTTTAGGGTCAATAACATTTCCCTTTAGTGTGATTTTATATGTGACATTGTATGTTTACAGGGGTCCAGTGGTTCAAACAAGGGGAAACTTGGGCAGCACATCGATGGAGGCAAACGTAGACGTAGCTTGGATGACGATGATTTTGAAAGAATTTTTACTAGCAGCCGGGTGGGAAGTGGTGGACAAGGAGTGAATGGTGCTCAAGATGCTTTGGTGGTTAGTGTTTTTGCAATATTTGTAATGGGACGTATACTTGTCTATTTAGGTTGAAGAATTTCATTACTTTGCAGATTAGTGTTATGGCAGTGTGTAGTGTCCTATTCGGTGTTTTTTCCCTGAAACGGGTGTGGTTTTATTGTTTGTTCAAGTGTTTTCCATGGCTTCAGATTCCAATACCGAATGTGTTGAGATTGAATGTCCCAAAAGGGTTCACAAGAATCCGGAGAGAGATACTCCCACGGAGGTCGAGCATGATAAGAAAAAGCGGAAGCTGGGGAGGTTGGAGCGTGCTAAGCAACACCTGAATCATGATAGCCCTGTTGTATGCCATGGGCCCTTTTCAGAAGATCCAAAGCCTGCGAATGGGGAAATAGAAAAGGTGAGAGAGTTTTTGAATGAAGGCCTGCTGAAAAGGCAGGGAAGGGGGAATAGGACCGGTCGGTATACAAGTAAGGTGGATAACATGACAAAAAGTCCGATTGTCCTTGATGGTTTTACAGTGGAGAACAAAACATGGATCTATAAGTTGTTTTCGAACACAGAGTGGTTGCGCAGCACGGTATGATTTAGATTATGTTTTGTTATGGTTGTTTATTCTGAGACCGTGTGTGAAATAGTCCGTGGGGGGGGGTGTGGTTTGTTGTAATGTCAGGGGCATTCGAGGGGGTTAGTAGAATGGTGTGGCTGGTGTTTTTTGATGCATATTAAGGTGTTTTTATGTGTTTTTTTGTTGTTATTAATGTGGCAGTAAGGTGGTGTCTTTATTAGGTACTTTGGCATTGTTATGGGATGGGTTAGGAATTGCTTTGGGTAGTGGTTTGTTGTAATGTCGGGGACATTCGAGGGGGTTAGTAGAATGGTGTGCCTGGTGTTTTTTGATGCATAATAAGGTGTTTTTATGTGTTTTTTTGCGGTTAATACTGTGGAAGTAAGGTGGTGTCTTTATTAGGTACTTTGGCATTGTTATGGGATGGGTGAGTAATTGCTTTGGGTAGTTTGAGTTTAGTGAGTGAAGAATGTTTTCCAAAAAGCATCGGGGGGGGGGGGGGGGTGTTTTTTCTTTGGTTTATATTGGCTCTTGTTTTTTTTCCATTTTGTGGCATGTCATTGTGCGGCATAGTTGTGGGTGATTGTATCTGGAAGTGTGGTCTGTATACATTTTAGGCCGTTCCAATGATAAGACATGTGTGTTTGTGTTTTTTTAATTGTTGAATTGTGTGCGATGTGTTTTTATACAGCATGTTGAAATAGCAATGCATTTCCTGGAAGTGAAGGGTAGGCAGTATAACCTCCTGCAGATGTACACAACTACAACCCCTTACTTCTTGCAAGGGTTGTATAATCACCAAGCAATGGTAAATGTTGGCAAGGCCAAGAAGGAGGAAGTTGTCACTAATCGGAATCTAAGCAGTGAGGTGCTGGGGTTAGCACGGGCATATTCGAGGCCATGGTCTGAGTGTGATTTTGTGTATATGCCCTTGAATACGACCACTGGATGTTGCTTGTCCTGGAAGTTGAAGGGAGGACAATACGGGTATACGATTCAAAAGGAAAGAAGGGAAAGAGTTGTCGGGCATTGAACGAATACGTGCAATGTCTCACCGAGTTGCTGCCTGTCCTGCTTGATTTGTTGAGTGTATATGATGAGCACTCGGAAGGCCCAATGGGGAAAAAGAAGTTCAATATCGAGGTCGTTGATGGGTGTCCACAACAAGATGACGGGTATGTGGTAAATTTTCATTTGGAACATAGCGACTGAAGATGCATTCCAATTTGTTTGAAAATAGCCGGATGATTATTGATGTAAAGGATGATATTTTAAAGTGCAGGTGTAACTGTGGGATGTTTATGTTGAAGTTTGCAGAGTATCTAATGATGGATAGAAAAATTTCTGATGTTCATGCACGCGACATGGAGGGGTACCGGGTTAAGATGACTACGGAGCTCATGGTATACAGTAATGAGCTGAAAGAGAAGGCCGAAGACAAATAGCCTTAGGGTGTGAAATTATTTGCAATGTTTCTGCATGGTGTGGACAGTTTTTTTTTGGGATGGGGGTAGTTTGTAGTAGGTGGTGTCTCAGGATTTGAAATGTGATGTTGTTTTTTGTTGAATGGGTGGTACGGTATTTTTGTCGTTTTGATTAGTTGTTTTTTTTTGTCTTTTGATATTTATTAAGTCAGACATTGTGATGTGTTGTCCTTGATATGGACTACGAACGGTTGGTGTTTGAGTGTGGTTGTTACTTTAGTGTTGGTATTGTGTGATTGCCGTATTGGTTATTAGTGATTCGTTCATGTTTATTGTTTGGTTTGGTGGTCCATTACTGTTCTTTTTTGAAGTGTTGGTTGATTGGAAGTGTTAAATTGGTTTACACTATCTTTTGTGCTGCTGGGAAAATGATATGTGTGAGCACCTTTCCCCGTGTAGACTGGCGCGGAGGTTCACTACTATAAATGATCTGACACACTTCACATGTCTTGCTTGGTAGTGTGGGGAGTGTTGCAATGTTTTTTTCGGAATTGTGGTATGGCAGTGTGACGTATGGTTTCAAGTTTCTGTTTGTGTTTGGTATGTTGTCCCGATTTATATGTGGGGTACGTCTTAAATACTATACTGCCATTGTGTGATTTGTTTCCTTTGGCAGTATGATTGATTGGAATGGGCTAACGGCAGTGGTTGGTTGCTACTCGTGGGGTAACGGCAGTGTTTGATTGGAAGTACAGGGAAATGTGGTTGTTTGTCTGATGTTATTGGTTGATTTGGGATACACAGCCAGCATTATGACATTGTAGTAGTTTATCAGTATTCAATTTCAGGTTTTTCCCCCGTGATTTCAGCGGTGAATTTTTTTTATTAGTGTTTTTATGTTGTTATTTAATTGGTGTTATGTGTGTGTGTTGTGTTGTGTGTTATTTTTACACTTCCCCCCGTATAGGGTAGTGTATGAGGCATGAATCTGTCAGTAAGGTAGGAGTTCCAGGTGCATGGTGTGTTTGTTGTATTACTTCCTTTGTTTTTTTTAAATGTATGTTGGCAGTGCATTCCATACGCATTTTCAAACCGAACATGTTTATTGTACCGGTTAGGGAATTAAAACACAATGGCACCAAGCAAAAAAATGTGTACTCATTCGGGGTAATTTAATGAATGTGTTATTTATCTTATGGGTAGTGGAAGGAAATTTGACGTACAACGCATCCATGCAAACAAAAAAATACAGCCATTGTCATGTTGGTATTGGATTTTTGCATGTTTTTATATTATGTCCCATCTTCAAGCACCTGGTGCACTTTTGTTTTTTCCGACCTTTGCCCAAGTGGAATTCACCAACGGATGGCAGCCTCCGCTTCTTTGGCCTCCCAGGTGGGCGTTTGTTGCATGATGGGGGCTTGCAGACAAGGGCTTTGACAGCCGGCGGGATGTACCAGGTAGATTGGTCGCCTAATGGGTGCACAATACCGCTGTAGGTGGCTACCAATGATTCGCGTTTGTAGTAAGGTGAGATGAAATTGTAACATGACAGTCCTGGACGAGATCCAATTGCTGCTACGGCGTGGACACATACAAAATGGTCCAATTGAAAATCACCGCATGTACACGACTTGTCTCTGAGGTTAACAACAAAAGTCCGGGACCACCTGTCAACAACCTCAAACTCGTATGGGGAAGCTGGCTTAACCTGTTGCAAAAAGGGTTGTTAACCGTGAAATGTTACATGGAATGAATGAAAGTGTTGCAGTTTTTTTTATTATTTAATATGTATACTGTTTAGGTGGTTAAGGAAGGTATACCTTCATCCTGAATGCATCACGTTGTAGTGTAATTAGCTCCGACTCAAGCTTCCTTGGTAGAATGGTTGTTGTAGATGAAGCTGTTTGACGCCGTTCATGAAACCATTTCTGCATCCTTTCGCGAATGAAATCGACTAGCTTGCAAATGGGGTATTCGCTTGCCGAGTTGTTGACATTGTTCATTGATTCTGCAGCGTTTGAAGTCATTACGGAGTACCGGTATGGCCCACTTTTGCAACGTGCCCATCGCGGCATACCTATATTGGATAGGTATGCACGTATTCTATGGTCTTGTTCATCCAGCATTTGAAGATACTCCTCGCACTCTGCCTCAGTAGCTGCACGTGATGCTTTCCTAAACTTCCAGGTCAGGTCTTCTTTAGGACCTTTGAATTTGACACGCAGGTTTCGGGCAATGTGTTCTGTACAAAAACCATGACCTACATTCGGGAATACGTTCTGAACTGCGTGAATGATTCCCTCGTGGCGGTCAGACACAATATACAGATCATGCCTTGCGGTCAGGGTGGTTTTCAAATGAGTAAGAAACCACAACCAAGAGTCCTTGTCTTCTGCATCACATACACCAAAGGCGATGGGGACAAGCTGTTTATTGGCAAGCAGTTAGTAGTGTTCCTTTATAATAGGATTTCATAAATGTCCCATCAATAACGAGAACTGAGGCACAATGATTCCAAGCTTGTTTCCACGGGGCTAAAGAGAAGAACAAATATTTGAATCTCTGGTCGTCAGACGTAGACAAATGAATAGAAGAGCCTGGGTTCTTTGTCTCCAACATATAACATAGAGATGGTAGTAATTGGTAGGAATCTTCGTCCGAGCCATACAACTTGGTCAATGCCCTCTGTTTCACGAGAAGTGCTTTCCTATATGACATCGCAATGCCAAACTCCCTTCGCATGTCGTCGCGTATGTCATTGGGGGGGTACTGTTTTCTGGTTGCGTCGACATACCGATGGAGGACTAGATCGGCCAAGAATGCTGACGTTGCTTGTCTGTGATCACCTTCCCGGAAGTCAACAGGGCACGAATGATATGAATCAAACCTGCCACAAAAAAAAATATCATATGACCGGTGGGAATAGTGATTTTACAGCGAAGCGTGGTGTGTAGTGATAGCGTTATAGGAATGTAAAGTTCTGCATTTTAATAATAGTGATGATTTTTAAGTTAGTAATGCCAGTGTGTGTACTCTGTTTTGTGTTTTGACTGATAATTTTGGAAATGCAGTGGATGCTATGGCAGTGTTGTTGTCAACATTGTGGCTGTGGGTTTTTCCCACACTTGCTGATTTGTGCTGTGAATGAGCATAGGTTTCAAAATTGGACTACACGCGTCTGATAACTCAAAGTGATATGGAAGTGAGTGCACAGTGCGACACAGATCCCGTCATGTTTCTAATGAGATTTGGTTTAAGCTTTTGAAATTAATGCAGAATGGCAGTCTGTTTTATAGAGCTATTAGTTTGAATGAAATGTGTGAAGTGTTTATGAGTGATAGTGCACAAATGTGTGGGGGACACTGCCGAAAGACATTGGTTGCAATGGATGTAATTCGTTTGCAGAATTGGAATACAAGCATGCATATACTGGTTTTCATATTTAAGTGAATGCACACAGTGGGTCTGTTTATTATGTTAACATCCAAACATCTTTTAAGAAAATAGTATTTACCTGCGTATCTGAAATAATGGAGAGTTGTCAAGACGAACGGCACGAACTGCCCATGGACACCGGACATCAACGCAGACAATGTGCAACAATGTCCTATTTGACCTCTTTGTCTTATACTGAAATTATTAGACACCGCATACATTCTGAGATGATGGCATAAGTCTTCCTTGGACTTGTAAATGCTGTCAATTTGAAGAGTGGTTGGGTGATAGTGTGAAATAACGTCCACCGAATTTGACGGGAATCTCCTCCGTTTAGTTTGGTTGGTTCGCTTGGTATTGTTTGAGGGATCAGAATTGGCATTTGAGAATTCATTTGGCATGAGTGACTGTAGGTATTGGCATTGGGTTAGATCGCTTGGTTCGTACGAGGGATTGTCTTGGGCACTCAGATGAGTAGCTGTGGCAGTAGGCAAAACCTCCATGCATAATGGCAGATATGACAAGTCGGTTTGGTGGGACTTCAACTTCAGATAGAACAAAAGTTCAGCGTCGTCCACAATGACGATAGGCGGTGGACATAAGGCAACCATGTAGGAGAACCGAATGTCATTTTGAGTCCAATCCATTGAAATGTCTGCCTTGACAGTGTCCATGAGTGTTTTTAGAGAGGGTTCGCTACGGACATGAATAACAGTGTCGTATTTCGAAGTGAAATTTCCAAGATTGTCCCACGATCCATCAACGCGCAGCAATACCTTAATACTTGAATCCATGTGAACAAAGCCTTGAACAAAAGGAAATTCTGTATGGTCAGAGACCCAGATTTATTAAAATTAAAATACAATTAATTCGAGGGGCATTGTTAGGTCATAAGAATTAGTAGAATTGTAAATAGAAAAATCTGATCTTTTTCATTTAGAAGGAGCACTGCCTAAATAAATTGGCTTAAAGAGAAGCAGGGTTAACAATAGGTTAACAATGGAGAATAATAAGAACACAAACCCTACTCACGGATATGATAGATATAAGCAAATTCAGAAGGAACTTGACTGACCGGGGTGGGCTGTGAGCTGTGAAAGCTTCAGCCGAGTCTCCGCGGAACTCAATTGCAATGGTGCGATACTCCTGGGATTTGGATTGGGGAAGGTGAAGCCTACCGTGTATGATGTGGTATAACCGGCGATTCTCTGGTTTTGGGGGAGGAATAGTGAGGACCATCGTTGGATCGTTGGAGAGCGTTGTAATAGGCGATGGGGTTGTAACGGCTGGTGATTAACTCCCTCCTCAAATTGCGCAGGTGAAGGGGAAATGCGGGAAAGTGGTAACCGCAGGTGGAGGATAAAGAATACAGGGTTAAATTAGGAATATTAGAGAGATGAAAAACGTTGGAGGTGCTAGAAATGTAGAAAATGGAATGGGATTGCTATATATGTATTTTGTAAAACTTAAAGGTGCTATAATGGATGATTTCTTTTATCATAATTTAGTAAAAAAAGAAACTATAGAAATCTTTTTGTAACCTTATTCGTGGGAGATTTAAACCTGCAATAATTAACCAGTGGATGATACATGCCTATATAGATTGATGACACAGACACCAAACACATATTTGACCAATGTGCCATTCTTTTGGATGATGTGACTATTTCTTTCCATTCTCTGCTGCTCTCTATGCCGCTTTCCATTCTTGGCTTAAGTTATTGAATGGATATTGGGCAAAAGAAAGAAATTGAAAGGACTGAACAAAGAAAAACTCTCTCCATTACATATTTTTCTACTCATTTCGTTCTAATTTTAATTACAAATGAGGAATTATAAGATAAAATTTTACGACTTTTGAAATTATTTTATTTACAAATTGGTACATTAATAAAAATACAGATTATTTATTAAAAAAGTATGACAAAAGTTTTACAAAGCAAGATGTGACAAGAATATTTTATTTTATCAAATAATTAATTAAAACACACAAATAGACAAAATTTATCAAGAAAAGAAGAGAGAAAATGGACGGAGAGAGTATCTTTAAAATTTCACAGTCAACTTTTTAAATTTTCATCATCTAATATTAAAAAATCACTACATTATTTAGAAAAATAGAAATGATATGATCCGCAAAAAGAAGAACCTCAATGTGGAGGATTTCATTGAATGGACAATATCACGTGAGAAGTTATATAAATTACAAGATCAAGAATATGTATTGGTAGAAGTTGGTGTTTGACTTACAAGATGAATTATTTTTATATTTTGTGAAGAATGATTAATTTCCAATAATCATAATGGGGAGATTACATGTGTATATATACAAGAGGGTTTCCTAGTTAGGGTAGGAAACATATATGGTAACCTATACACTTAAGGTAACTACAATAATTACAATATTAAATATAGTAAGAATATATTTAACATGCTCCTGAAGCCGCTGATAAGGAGGGCCGAACGCCCAAGCAATCCCGGAACTCGGAGAAGATGATGGATGTGAGGCCCTTCGTGAAAATGTCTGCGTACTGAAGTGACGAAGGGACATGAATGACGCGAACTTGTCCAAGAGCTACCTTGTCACGAACAAAATGAATATCAACCTCGATATGCTTCGTGCGCTGATGCTTGACATGATTTGCAGACAGGTAGACCGCGCTGATGTTGTCGCAGAAGACGAGTGTGGATCGTGTGAGGGGCTGCTGAAGCTCGAGAAGAAGGTTCCGGATCCAACTGACTTCGGCCACGGAATTTTCTTAAACTTGTGTCAAGTCAAACCGGAATTCTTTTTTGGAACATATGGATTATATAATTAGTCAAATGTTTGGCACGTAAAATGAATCGGACAAATAAAAATGGAGGGAGTAAGAAGTAATTAAGGGTACATTCTATTTGCCTAGTCTAATTTTTTCGATATATGGTTTGATCTGATATAATTGGGCTTGATTTAATTAGATATAATTGAATTTGATATGGTCTAATCTGATTTGACCTCGACAACTTTTGGTTGTTTGTATGTTTTCATTGATCAGTTGAAAACATCACCGAATGTAATTCATATGGGGACCGGGGGAGTACAATATTATAATTGTAATATCATTTAAGTATATGTGACACTAAATAATGTAACTTGATTTAATTGTTTGATGATAATTATTTAATCACATATAGAATAATTAAATTGTTTTTTAACGTACGTTTTCAGTATTAATCAGATTTGAAAAGATGTGATCTAAATATCTAATTAAATTTCATCTATTGTAAGTGCATCTGATCTGATATAAGCCATCAGTTATTAATAATAGCCTATGCAAAAAAAGAAATGATTGCCAAAAATGCGAGATACATTTGCATTGGTTTTTTGGGTAACCAGTGCAGATAAGGTAGTCCATTTGCTAGTTTTTGTGGTAATGAAAGAAGATGGGCACTATATGAAACCTTATCTACGCCGCTTCGCTTTTTCCACCAAGTGAGGTCCCTACGACACCGATAGAAGATGGATGCGCATTGGTCTAAATAGAAGATGCATGCCACTACTCCAGAAGATGCAAACGGATCCAAGGAAACAAGCTATATATAAATTTCATGTTGGAGAGCCCAATGATGGTGAGTCTAAAGCCATGAAAACAACTAATGAGGGGTCCAATGCCATGAAAAATGATGTGGGAGGAGTTGAATTTATTGTTAGAGCATAGAAACTGATACGTACAAGTACCAGATTGGGGAGACTTCGAGCGTCTCCAAGAGGAGAATTAGATTTTAATTGGGAGTTTATTTCATACGTAACTTGCATGGGGTACATCTCTTTTTAAAGGTGAACCCTAGCAGAATCCCAGTCCTAGTTAACTACGTTTTCTATCCTGACGGTTCAAAAAAAGCGACGAGGTAAAGAACCGTAAAGAAACCCTCGAAGGAGCTTATATTTTCGCTCACCTAAAAAAACACTATTACAATAATTAAAATGATAATAATAAATAAAAGATAATAATCACTGGAGAATATAATCCCCATGCCACGCCGGAGCCTTCCGATCACGCCGGCGCCGAGCTACCCTCGTCCCCGGCTCCTTGTCACTTGTCTCTGCCACGTCGTCTCGTGCGCATCCTCGACCCGCATGTCTCCTAACCTGTCCTCCTGGTGCACCGTATCACTCCCGCCCGCTTGAGAAAACACCTTGTCCTCAAGGTGTATATCTGGGTAATAACGTTGAACCACCTCACATGGCTCCCATGTTGCGTCGTCCCTTCTGCCGTCGGACCATTCAACCAAGTATTGCTGGACAAGCTTTCCACGGTGTAAAATCTGTCGACTTGCGTGCACCCTCACTGGCTTAGAGACGGGTTGGCCCCTAACAAACTCATCCGGTAGAGATTGGTGGCTGCCCTCCTGTACCACACGATAATAAGGGCGAAGGAGTGCCACATGAAAAACTGGGTGGATTCGGGACACTTCTGGCAGATCCAGACAGTATGCTACATTTCCCACGCGCTCCTATACCCGGAATGGCCCATAATAACGACGTGCAAGCTTTTGTGTCCTCCGCCAGGCTACCGAGTGTTGGCGATATATATGGTTGGAGCTTCAACAAAACCAAATCGCCCACACTAAACTCCATTTCCCGTCGGTGACAGTTCGCGGCAGTGGCCATCCGCCGCTGTGCCTCACCCAAGTGCTCGCGCAGGCACCGAATCAGTTGGTCCCTTTCCGTTAAAACTTTGTCTACTTCCAAAACCTTGCATTCTCCCGGGGTGTATGGCACGAATGTAGGTGGTGTCCGTCCGTACAGCGCCTCAAACGGGGTCATTTTGAGACCCGAATGGAAATGGGTGTTGAGGGCGTACTCAGCCCACGACAACAACATTGTCCATCGTGTGGGTTTCTCTTGGGTGTATGCACGCAGATACTGTTCCACTATCCGATTCATTACCTCAGTTTGGCCATCTGTCTGGGGATGGAATGTGGTGCTCATCTTCAACGTAGTGCCACTGGACTTCAATAGTTCCTGCCAGAACTTGTTCAAGAACACCTGGTCTCGGTCCGAGATAATGGATTTCGGAAACCCATGGAGTTTTACTACTATATCAATGAAGAGATGTGCTGTATGAGGGGCGTCAAAATTTGCCGGCAAAGCTCCAAGGTGAGCAGTTTTGGTCAGGCGGTCCACTACCACCAAAATGACGTTGTTGCCTCGGGAAACCGGTAACCCAACGATGAAGTCCATGGAGATGTCCTCCCAAACATGCATTGGTATTGGTAGTGGCTGGATTAACCCCGGTGGAGGTTGGGTCGAATACTTCGTGGTTTGGCACACCATGCACGTACGAACATACTCCCGTACCTCCGCCCTCATTCGCGGCCAGAAGAAGTTTTGGGCCAGTCGGAGGAAAGTCCGTTGGACGCCCTCATTCGCGGCCAGAGTGTGTCGTGATGCTCCTTGATCAATTGTACCCGCAAAGGCGAAGTGGTGCTTACACCCAAATGCCTCCCGTAATAGAGCAACCCGTCAACAATTGAGTATGGTTCGGCTAACTGACCTTTTTGGTGCGTACGGTGGTAGGCAAGCAGGTCCTCTTGTTGCTGATTTTCTTGCTTTAATTCATCCATGAGCGTCGAAATAGGCACCGTAATTGTCAGCAGTGTGTGCACATCCTTGGCAGGCTCGTGTATGCGTGATAAAGCGTCGGCCACCTGGTTGGACGCTCCCTCTTGTACTCAATTCGGAATCGGAAACCCGAGAGCTTACGGATGTAGAAGTGTTGGTCGGGAGTTTATATCACCTGTTGAAGGAACTCCCGGAGGCTTTTGTGGTCGGTCCGGATGAGGAACTCCCGATCGAGTAGATATTGGCGCCACTTTTGTACGGACTCCACTATTGCATACAACTCCTTATGGTATGTCGATGCCGTCATTCGCCGGGGACAGAGCTTCTATCTAAAATATTGTATGTCGCGCGTTGCAAGAGAACGACGCCAATCCCTGTCCCGGACGCATCGGTCTCCACCACGAAGATTTCATCAAAGTTGGGAAATCGTAACACCGAGGCTGTGGTCATGGTCCGTTTCAACTTCTCGAAGGCCGCTCCCGCTTGTTCTGCCCATTTGAAGGCATCCTTTCGCAAGAGGTCAGTAAGCGGTGCGGCCAACTGTGCATAGTGTTGCACGAACCTCCTGTAGTATCTAGTTAGGCCAAGAAATCCCCGTAATTGTTTCAACGTCTTGGGCGTCGGCCATTGCTCCATGGTCGTGATCTTGGTGGGGTCGGCTTGAAGAACTCCCCTGGTCACAATATGGCAAAAGTACTCGACCTTTGCTGTGCAGAAGGTGCATTTGGTTTTTTTGACGAAAAATTGATTTGCTTGTAACAATGTGAACACTCGTTGTAGGTGTTGCTGGTGCTCCTCCAAAGTTGTGCTGTAAACAAGAATGTCATCGAAGAAGATAATGACGAACTTTCGGAGATGGGAGGCGAATAACCGGTTCATACAGCCTTGGAATGTGGATGGGGCGTTTGTTATTCTGAATGGCATAACCAAGAACTCGTAATGGCCTTCGTGGGTTCGGAAAGTCGTTTTATGGATGTCCCTGTCAAACATTCGAATTTGGGGGTACCCGGATCGCAAGTCCAGTTTGGAAAAGAAATTTGCCTTTCCGAGCTCATCAAATAACTCGTCCGCGGTCGGTATGGGAAAATGGTCCGGCATCGTGGCGGCGTTCAAGGCGCGCTAATCGACACAAAGTCGATAGGTTCCATCCTTCTTTCTGACCAACAATATCGGGGAAGAAAACGGACTTCGACTCGGCTGAATGAGCTCTTGTTCCAACAGTTGCTTCACTTGCTTCTCTATTTCGGCCTTTTGAAAGTGCGGGTAGCTGTAGGGCCGGACGTTTACTGGTTTGCTTCCCGGCTGTAAAAATATTCTGTGATCAGCATCTCGACGGGGCGGCATCCCTCTGGGTTCCTCCAAAACAGCCCCAAATTCGTCCAGTAACTGAGCGATTTCCTTTGGCAGTGACGGTTCAAGGGTCTCGGGGGGAGATTCTTGGATTGCCATGAGCTCCACGTAAACCTCGACATCCCGTTTCTCGTGCATGGTTCGAAAGTGGAGGAACGTCATCAGTTTGGCCATCGGCACTTCTCCCCGTAGAGTCACTCCTTGCCCCAACTATGTAAATTCCATCGTTACCTTTTCGTAGTCATGTGATACCCTCCCTAACTGACGGAGCCATTGTACTCCTAAAACCACATCGTGGCCATGAATCTACAGCACATAGAGGTCTGCGGTAAACTCCACTCCTTGTAGCATAATCCCCATTCCCCACTGACTTACATTGTTGGCCACACTGTAGGGAGTCCCCATTTCTGACATAAACTTGGAATGATGACACAACCTCAACGGGTATCCCCAATTTCTCTACGATGTGAGGGTGCACGAAGCTGCGCGTGCTCCCTCCGTCAATCAAGACCGCAACCTCCTGCCCGGTGATCCGTCCGGTTAGGCGTAATGACCGTGGCGTGGTGACTCCTGCCATGCTGTGTAAACTAGAGATGTCGGCAGTGACATTTATTTCTTCCTCCGTATCGGGTCCTCGTCCTCCTCTTCTTCGTCCCCCATCATCAAAACGAACCGACCACACCTGTGGTCTTGACTCCATTTTTTGTCGCAATTGTAACACAAACCCTTGGCGTCCTTTTCCATTTTTTCTGCGCGGGTTAACAGCCGGACGGGGGTTGAAGCTGTGGATTCCCGAGTGTTTGTGATGGTCGCTGGTGGGCTGCCCAAGATGGAAGGTTTTGCAGGCGTCGAGTTGGACCCCCCTGTTGAGAACCTCGGCTCCCCGATGCCCACCCACGACTAGGGTTAGGGTTCCATGACCCACTCTGACTTCCCACTGATTGGACTATGGCGTTATGCTTTGCCTCCAGTTCGCGTGCTAGTGCGAATGAATTCGAGAGTGTGGCAGGTTTGAGGAGACTAATTTCATGTTGAAGATGGTTCTTTAACCCTGCGTGAAACAAGGACTGCAAGTGTTGCTCGGGTACGTCGGTCACGTGGGTGTGAACTTTTCAAAAACCGCTTGGTACTCCATGACCCCCCCTACTTTCCGCACCCGTGCCAACTGCCCCAGGTAATCGACGTAGTGCAGAGGATCAAAACGCAGCTTGAATTTTTCTACGAAATCTTCCCATCCGTCAATCAACCCGTTGTTCCGTCGCCATCGGAACCAGTCAGCGACCGGCCCTTCAAGCATCATGGTAACACATCGCAAGTGATAACTCGGGTTTGGGGTAATATTTTTTATTCTCATTTTGGCATTTTTAGTATTTTTATTGTTTAATTTTCATTTGTTTAGCTTAATTTTATTTTAATTCTTATTATTACAAACCTTTTATTTCCATTCAAAAATAGTTGTTTTTAATCATTTTTTTACATGTTATTATTTTAGTATTTTTATTTTTCCTAACCCAAGTTACCAGATATCCTATTTGTTTTGGAATAAATTGCAGTAAAAGGCCAAATTGAAGCTCAAATTTGAAAAGAGAAGATTGAGTTTGGACCGGAGCCCAAACCAATCATCAACAACTCAATTAAACAAAGATAAGCCCAAGTCTCCTTCCCCCAACTCAAACTCACGCATGAAGAAAAAAAATGCTTCCTGCGATTGAAGGTAGCGCAAGACCAGGAGAGGAGCAGCGACCTATTCAAATCGGCAGTAACGCCTCTCCTTCAACGTTCGGCCATGAATTGCTCTCCAAATCAAGTCAACAACGGCTCCTTGTTCTCTCTCTTCACTCAAAACGCTCCAACGGGAAAAAAATTCCTCCTGGCTATAAATTGGACAAGGAATCGCAGCAGAGGGTAGGAGGGGAACGAACCAGAGAGCTCCATTCTTCAATTTCTTCATCTTCTTCTTCTAAAGGTACCCAAATAAATTGGCTTCCGGACTTAATCCGGAAGTCAATCCTTTAATTTTTCAATTCTTTTGTTGTTTCTATGTTCAAGTGTTGTTTTTTTCCAATTTATCATTTTTTTTGTTACTTGTTCATGTAAAAAAATCTGAAAAAAATATAATGGTTGGTGTTCTTTTGGGTGTATGTTCTTGTTTTAAATGTTTATATATAATCCCTTATGAATGAGAATTGATTCTTTCTTATTTACTTCAATTATTGCACAAGTTGTTGTTGAATTGATTGAATTGCTTCAAATTCATAAGTAGGTTTATATGTGGAATTCGGTTTTCATTGAAGCTATTTTAGCTCCATAAGATAGTTAAATGAACTCCAAATTCATACGTGTTTCTTTGTTGTGCTTGTGTTCGTTGATTTTAAGGAATTTGGACTTCTTAGCCCCATAAGTCGATTCATTTTCCTCAGAATTCGTTATAGAGTGATTTTGTTAGAGTACATCCCACATCGGAAATCCAAGATTAAAATAATCGGAATATAAACCCTAGAGTTGAACTAACTAATCGATTGGATTCAATCTTTTAATGTGGTTCAGCCCAAGTGTCTTATTACTCAATCCAGTTGTCTCTACCCAATCCTAAATTCTATCATGGTATCAAAGCCAGTTTTAGCCCACCTCGTTTGTTAAGGTGTCCGTCTAGACGTTCATTCCTAGTGGCCCGTTAGTCTTTAGCCCAGTTGTCCGTATGGAGGTTGTACTCAACGGCCTGTGGCCTGTTTAACACGATTGCTCGTCTGGAAATCCATACCCAGCGACTCGTGGTCCTTTAGGTGTTGGCGCTCATGAAAAACAAGTCAAGGGAATGGGAGTTCATTTGCAAGTGGTCAATCGGTTAGATTCAAAATGGCCCAGTTGTCCACTTGAGGGGGAGTGTTAGAGTACATCCCACATCGGAAATCCAAGATTAAAATAATCGGAATATAAACGCTAGAGTTGAACTAACTAATCGATTGGATTCAATCTTTTAATGTGGTTCAGCCCAAGTGTCTTATTACTCAATCCAGTTGTCTCTACCCAATCCTAAATTCTATCAGATTTTGTTACATTATGTGTTTGTTTTCCATTTTCTTTAAATTGAGATTATTTAAGTGCAATAAACAATTCTTGATTTATTGGATGTGAATAGAAAAAACGTCATTGGTTTAAGGAGTTCATGGAAATCTGTGAAATGTGCTCATCATTAGGAGAAAAAGTTTATTAAAATACATAAGGTATTGGCGGTTTGTGAATAGATTATGTATGAGAGTTGAATGCATAATAGATTCTCTCTTTTATAAATTTTTTCTATAGTGGAAGTATGTTTTCATGCTTGATAGAGAGTTCGGGTTCTAAAGTATATTTCAAAACGGGCCTTTGAATTGCATGACTCCGGGCCGTGTGGAGAGTTGATAATCCTCCATATCGTGGTTAAGGAAATGAATCGACTCGACCTTTGATTGATTTTTTTTATTCTTAAGTGCGTAAGTTACGTAATATATTGTCTACGTGCCTATTATACGTGTAATGTTCGATTTCTGTTTGTTCTTTTTTTTAATTTTGTTTTGGGTTCTTGGCGGAGTTTTTCGGGTTACCTTGGTTGAGGAAGTTGATTATCTTTTGAGCTTGTTTTCCCCCATTTTATCAAAAAAAACCAAAAAATAAGAAAATACATAAAAACCAAAAATATTTGCTTTTTTATTCAACCCCCCTTTGTGTTATATAAGTATAAGTTTTATTTAATAAGTTTATATTATAAGTACTTGTTTATAAGTTATAAATATAAGTTCTTTATACTATATTTTTAGTATGTGTTTTATGTTTATAGTTATATTATAGTTCTTCGTTTATAAGTTATATATATAAGTTTTTATATTTATTTAGTTATAAGTTTTATTATAAGTTTTATACGTCTTATTATATATGTAGTAGTTTTTTTATTTAATTTCGTGACAATGTGTTCGCATGCTAAATTGGTTTTAAAAAGTACAAACTTTCTCCGTGGGATCGACCTTTACTTGCCCTAGCTATAGTTTTTATTTGATTATATTTTGAGGGTTAGTTAAGGATATTTTATAAATTTTTAATTTGTTTTGGACCTTACGACAAGTCCTCAACAGCAAGCGTTCCTCGGGTGGAGTCTCATAATTAAAAAAAATACTCCTTAACCTGATACAACCAACGCAACGGCTCTGACCCGTCACTCTTTGGCGGTTCCAGTTTTGGTTTGGGCGTCGGAGCACTCCATTCCTCTGTCTTTCGTGATTATCCCCATGGCGGCCTACATGACCCCCACCGCCTATTTGCAGAGTGGCGAGATTCGTTTGCATTGTCGTCAAGGTTGCGTCAATTCTAGTTAGGCGAAAATCGAAATCTCTTTGCATCTGGTGCACCGCATGCCCCATCTCGCCGATCCTTGCCTCAAGATCGGCCATGGTTGATGAAGCGTCCATCATCTCTCAAAGAGAGCACTTTGATACGTACAAGTACCGGATTGGGGAAACTTCGAGCGTCTCCAAACTCCAGAAATTGAGAAAAAGGAAGAGAGCAAATCACAGGCAAGAGCCGTGCGACACAAGAGGAGAAGTAGTTTATATTGTAATTGGGAGTTTATTTCATACGTAACTTGCATGGGGTACATCTCTTTTTAAAGGTGAACCCTAGCAGAATCCCAGTCCTAGTTAACTACGTTTTCTATCGTGACGGTTCAAAAAAAAGCGACGAGGTAAAGAACCGTAAAGAAACCCTCGAAGGAGCTTATATATTCGCTCACCTAAAAAAACACTATTACAATAATTAAAATGATAATAATAAATAAAATATAATAATCACTGGAGAATATAATCCCCATGCCACGCCGGAGCCTTCCGATCACGCCGACGCCGAGCTACCCTCGTCCGCGGCTCCTTGTCACTTGTCTCTGCCACGTCTGTCTCGTGTGCATCCTCGACCCGCATGTCTCCTAACCCGTCCTCTTGGTGCACCGTATCAGAAACCTGAACCTACATGCATCTCATGATTATTATGCACCAGTGAGGGTAACGAGCTCAACAGATCTTTTAAAGGATGAGAGTTGTCACAACAGGCATTCAACCTCTTATTTTATTTGTGCTTCATGCCCGCAAAAAATGTTTGATCTAGTTGATGTTATAAACTTGGAGCACCTGGTGATTGTAGAGGGGTTTGGCATGGATAGTTGTTTGTCTATATGTTGTATTTCTTTCACTCGGTCCCAATGAGTATCCAAAGTATGACTGGTAGCCTCCACTTTGAGGACAAGGTGATTTTTGAAAAAATAATATTTTGGGAGAAAATATTTCT